ACAAATGGGCAATCATTGGGCAGTTAAAAACACATTGGCATCATATCATTATACTACATGTACATCTAGCTTTGGTTATTTGACAATTTGAAGCTGTGAAAATTAAGGAAATCTGTGATGAGCTGGTAAAGATGATTTCTTGTCTTCCCTCCAGATAAAGAATGATCCTGATCAGTATAAACCTAAATACATAACAAATACTAAATATATGTAACACCATTAAAAAATTTTTTTAAACATAAATATATAATGGTTTGGTATATAATACCAACCATTCTACTCAAGATTTTGCATAGCTGCATGCACACCAACCTACCATCAATTGATACTGGATTTCTCTTTCAGTGAGTACAGATATCAGTTGGGCAGTATTCTGAAAGTGAACATTATCTACAAAATAAATAAAAAGAGAGAGGAGACATAGAGAAGAAGATGCACAACTACTAATGGACTATTATAGAGTACTATAATCACTCCATTGTAGTGTATTACACAAGTACATGTACATATACATCACAGTAAGAGTAGATTACTCTTATAATTACCATCTCCAGTTCCATGTATTAATAAATAATGAGGTAAGGACTCCACAGACACATTGGATAGTCTAGTAAGCAGTGACGTAACCTAAGACACATTAATGAGTAATATTTATTATTATTGAGTAAAGAGACAACATACTCTATAACCATCAGAGTTATCAGTTGGTTGATTCATATACCTTTCTGTGTAAATGGAATCTGAGAGAGAGAGAGACAATAAAAATTACAAGAGAGAGCAAAAGCAAAAGAGAGAGAGAGAGAGAGGAGAAATGTAGAAGAAAAGAATACAAATTAATTTCAATTTTATATTCAAATTAATGTTACCATAGTAATGCCAGTCAGAGACAGGTGATTGTGATATAGCAGCAGTGAATACTCCAGTACCACTAGACTCTATCATACCAGCCATGTATCCACCATAAGACTATCAGAGGAGAGGAGAGGAGAGGAGAGGGAGAAGGTAAGGGCTACTGATATACATGTACATGTACAGTATAACCAAAAACTTTTAAGGGATTAAACTATTTTTGGTCCACCCAAAAATCTTAATCTTTTTTGCTGCTTTTAATTTTCAGGAATTAATTACATTATCTAGAGATTTTAATTTCACAAATTAGAACGAAATTGAAATGTAAATCCCTCAAAGTTTTGAGTTAGACAATGTAAACGTATATTCTCTACTCACTGATCCGTAAATAGCAAAATGACTTGAGTCAACATAGCACTTTTCTTGGAAAAATCTGTAAAAAATAATATCCCAAAAACCATTCAAGATTTGACTGATTACACTTACCTGGCCCCTCTAAGCTGATCCACCGTCTCTAATTGGCCTAACTGTCGATACACTGAATGTTTGAAACTA